CACACACACACACACACACACACACACACACACACACACACACACACTGCTAGGTTCAGACTTCTGTAGACAAATCCCCATCTAATATATCATATACACTGCAAGATATGAGATCCAGATGGGCATTCCTACCCCGCAATGCTTCACACATACTGCTAGGAAGTAGTGATCTGCTACCCAACTTATGCTGCTAGATTTCAAACCCTGTTGAACACCTTCCTGTTTTTTCCAGATAGAAAATTCTAGGTGTCAGCCTTCATTGGTAATACCTCCACCTGCTGCAATTGCCCATAAAGCACTATATGTCAAAGCCATCTGGACCCATGCTCCTATCCCATATATAGTACTGTTGGCTATTTTAAACATACTCCCATTGTTGCCCAACATATACTAATATTTATTAGGCCATGTTGGATATTACTGATACCATCCTACATGTTCTACATATTAAGAACTAATAGACACTTCACACCTCTAGTCCCTAAGATTTGATGGCTAGCCACTCACACCACTGAAGTCCCAGGCTCTACTAGACATTTATCCTTCTATGTAGCTTTACATGTACTGCTATGTAGCAGGTTTAACAGGAGCTCTCCTAAACACCCCACAAAAAGTCCTAGGTATCAAGCCATTTTGGACACATTATTTGTCCTTTCCACTTGCCATCCCAAATACACTACTCTCATTTAGGCCATGCTGAACACCCCATTACTGCCGTTCCATATAAGCTTCTTTGTATCAAGTTTTGCTGTATAATCACCATCCAAGGCTACAGCCATACATTCAGTGCTAGGCATGAGACCCTGTTAGACAACACTGCAAGAACAACATCAGGAGCTACCCCACATAAACTGCTAGGTATCAGGCTCTGCCAGATACCACCTATTCCACCTTCACTGCCACCACATGTACACTGCTGAGAGCACCAGTGGGCACCTCTCACCCATACATCTGTTCAACATATGCTTGAAGTTTTAAAGCCTCATATTTTCCCTTCTTTATAATGGGGCCAATGCCAAGCCAAGAAAAGGCTCAGAAACTTGTCTTCTGCTACAGGCCATTACTTAGTGGGTTCAATAAGTGAACTTTCAACAGTGAGAACCCCACAAATTTGCCTTGAATTCGTTCAAATGTGGATAAGCACTCTTTATTGAAGGGAGCCAATTTTCACACAGAAGGATCACAGGTATTGCAAAAATTTCATTTGAGCAGGGACCCTATGCTGACCCTTCTACATGACAATCCCAGACCCATAGTAATCCAAGTTTGTTTATCGGTATATCCCCAAAGTGAGGGGCCTCTGGACATAAAGTACTCCTAAGGCTACTGGTCATGTGTAGGTGACCATGTCCAGACCTGGTAAGATATCTTTACCTTTACAAAGTGAAACAGTGTCATCTCAACAGATTAACCAAAGAGAAAAACCAGAATTCCCTTTTGAGTAGGAACAAGTACAGGAGCTCTCTTAAATACCATATGGGAGGGAACATGATCATGTGCACCTGGAAAAGGAGACTCTGAAGCAAAAGACACATAGTGGCAGAGTGGCCAGATGGTGGGCCAGTCTTCAAATAGACACATGTGACTGTCTCTCTAGGGCTCTGATAAGAAGGGCTGTGTCTGCAGCTTGGACACAGCAGATGGAGAACCAGTGAAGAGGCTATGCCCTGATTCAATCTTGATGCCCAATGGGTATAACCTACAGGCAGCCTCTCTCCAAAGTTCGTGGATATCACTAGCAATACAGTGACAGAAGTGCTGTTCAGAACCTGCACCTGACTGCAAGTGGGGGGCCCAATATGGTACAGGGGTTGGTTCTAACTCTCAACATTTTTGCATCATCCAGCAATCTTCTGACTACTGTAGGATTTGGGTGGAGGTGAATGGTACTCTCTCCTCTAGAGTAGGGATGCTTTTATCCAGGGGTCAAAAGCTGTCCTTGGAGATGGGCAGTGGCTTTGCACCTGAGACACAGTTTTTCTTTCTCCATACCAACTTCTCAGGCTAAAGTCTTCATGGCTGCACAGTCCCTACACAAAAGTGTCCCTTCCTCTTCTGACTCACTGAACCAGCATGCATTGGGGCTATGTCTCTAGGGCTGAGATAAAGAAAGGGGGATGAGGGATACAGGAGGCTAAACCAACAGTAGCCAGGGGAGACTGAAGGACAAGAGGATGCAGCTCTCTCTGGAGATACTGTTTGGCCCCAGGATTTACTCATCTTGAAAAGGATGTCAAGAGGGTGCCCAACACAAAAATCTCACTGTATACTAATTATACATTATCTTGCTCCTTATGCTTACTCCATGGAGGTCATCTACCAACCTGGTCACACTGGGAGCCTATGTTCCACAGTCATCATCGACAACTGTAGCATCTCACAGTGAGTGTCTGGTGTGGGACCAAGGCCTCACCTAAGATTACTTTTCTAGCTTAGCACAGCTGTGGGCAAAGCTGCTGCCAGACTGTCTTCATGGAAGAAACTCAAGCTCTAGAGGGAAAAAGGCTTTTCTAAAGATAGTGCAGGGAACTCACAACCTACACCAGGTGAATTCAAAAATAGTCACTGTAGAGATGGACACCGAGTGAGCACCAGCTTGGAACATGGGCTATTTGGGGACTACATTCTCAATCTGGTTAACCTGTCCTGGGGAAAGTGGGTAGATTGTGATAGTCACTCTGGTAGAAGAACTCTTTCCTCATGTGGGAAGCCCTCTTTTCTTGCCTCAAGCCCTAGCCCAGAAATATGAAGGGAAATACAGTAGAGCAAGATAGGGCAATTGTCCTATCAAACATTTGAGGTTACTCCCTAGATGGGACTAATGACCCCCATAGCCTAATATATTTCAGTACTTGGTTACCCAGTTGGTGGAACTGTCTGGCAAAGATTAGGAAATATGGCTTTGTTGGAGAAGCTGTGTCACTGGGGGTAGGCTTTGAGTTTTTTAAAGTCAACTCCATCCCTGCTAGCCCTTTCTGCCTTCTGCTTGTCTATCAAGATATAAACTTTCAGCTACTGCTTCAAAGCCTTGCTTGCCTGTTCGCTTCCAAGCTCCCTGTCACGATCATTATGGACTCTAGCCCTCTGAAATTATTACCTCCATTATAACCTCTTCTAGAAATTGAATTGGTAATGCTGTCTTATCAAAGCAATAGAAAGTAAGACAGGGCTAGAAGGGATTCTAACTCCCAGACAGCTTTGGGCATCCTTTTACTCATGTTCCCAATATGAGGAAGATAAAATGGAAGACCAGCCCTGAGTTAAATTTCCTGGTGACTGGAATTTCTGGTGGAGAAAACTATCTGTTTGTATACCTCCTCTTTGTGCTAGACAGAGCCTCTTTGCTGGGTATGCAGGCACACTGTCACCTGGACTTTCTGCCTGGTTCATGCTACAGATGTCTCAATCCACACAGGCTGATTTCCCACTCCATGCCTCAGTGTCCGTGATGTTTCATCACTTAAAAATAGAAAGACATATGAAAGTAACTTTTGGCAACTGAACTATATGGTACTTACTAATTTACAACCCTGCTGTGTCATAATTTCCTACCTGATTCTTCCCTTCTGAACATCTGTTTCCTTTTGTCAACACTTCTTCAGTGCCTCCACAGCCACTGGTAACCATTTCTGTTGTCTATGTCCAGGTCAGCTTTCTCAGGTTCCAGATAATAAGGAAGCTGTTGCTTTGTCCATCTGAGGTGAAAGTTGCATATTCCATAAATGTGTTTAACTATTCTAAGTCAGTTGCAAAGAACATTAGAAAATTCATTAATTAAAATATAGAAATATATTTTGGTCCACCACCTACCTCATTTTATGTGACTCCATTCTCCCATTCCACTGGAGCCACTTTCTTCTGAGAAGCATGTCTTCTCCTTTGGGGAAAGAGGCAGCAACACAGGCTTTGAAAACAATTCACCGTTCTCCTCTTCACCCTCTTCCAGCATCGCCTTATGTTGTGGGAAGAGGCTGTGATCACACTCTGGGGCTTGGCACTGGTGGAGCATGGTTCAGATGTTTCACACAGGAAAGACCGCCTTTCCTTGTGATGAGTGCCTGTGGTTGTAACACTTAGAGGCACTTCCATGGAGCTCTTTAAAGATGATGTGTTCTGGGGAGATGAGCTGTTTTTGGGGGTGGTTTTACTCTGTGGTGTCATCTGGGCAATATCATTTCTAGAAAGAATATTTTCTGAGGATATGCTGCCTAAAGCCAACACCTCTGAGGTCATACATCTCTTCTGAATAATGCTTCTCATGAGATGAACAGCTACATGACCACATTCAGAAGCTACTTTAGGAAAGATGGTTCTCTTCTGTTGACAACACAAGATGTCAGGCATGCTGAGTCTTCTGCTCCCCTCCTTCACTGCAATTTTGTCTTTGTCATGAAGCTTGTGTTTTGATAGAGAGGTGTTAGAGGGCAGAGCAGGATCACTCCCTGTGCCATTTGGGGAGAAGCGAGCCATGGGAAGACATGAAGGTGTACTGGCAACATCAAACTGCATAGGTTTAATTTGTTGATGTATGTTGCTTCTCAAGAATGACTGGTGTTTTAATATTAAATAAGTTGCCATGATGTTATTAAATTTTTTTTCATGTAAAGAGTCTCTAATGTCTTTGGGACTGTAGCCCATGACCTGCATGGCTGACACAATATTGAGGTTTGGTTTTCTAGGGAGTATCTCCAAGGAAGATGATAGTTTTAAAAGTACTTCACTGTCCTTGAGCCACAGATGTTTCATAATGTCATGTATCTTGGGTCTCTGCTCAGAGTCAATAGTGAATATCTTCACAATGAGGTTGACAATGTATTCTGGAAGCTTTGATGGAATGTAGTAATGTGGATCTTTCATCTCCACCTTCATGTCTTTATATGTTGTTGCTTTGAATGGGAGGTACCCTGTCACCATGATATATAGTACTACTCCCATGCTCCAGATATCAGGTGTCTTGGGATCATATTCTTGGCCATTGAAAAGCTCTGGAGCACAGTATGGAAGGGTACCACAGAAAACCTTTAATTTCTGCCCCACAGTTACTTTGGTAGCCAGACCAAAGTCACACAGCTTGATGCTTCCTTTGCTATCTAACAGTATGTTATCTGGTTTGATGTCCCTGTGTGCAATATTATTCTCGTGGCAGTACTTAACTGCACATACTATCTGTGTGAAGATGTGTTGGGCCTCCTCTTCCTGCATGGAGCCTACCTCCACTATACGACTGGCCAGGTCACCCCCAGAGGCCAGTTCCATAACCATATAGATATGCTGAGTAGTTTCCATGACATGGAACAGCTTAATTATATTAGGATGATTCAATAATTTCATGATATCTACCTCATTTGTAATCAAGGCAGCTTTCTTTTTGTCCTTTTCTATAATCTTCAGAGCAACCTGCACCTCTGTACGGAGGTGACAGGCAAGTTTCACTTCAGCAAAGCTGCCTATACCAAGGGTATTGAGGATCATGTAATGATCTGTGGGAACCTCCTCCCCAGAGGAACTTTCCTTCGGGTCCTGGTGCATTGTTACCTCCTCATTCCTCCTGTTACATATTGTTTGTCTCAGTATCAAATCACAATACTAGATTTAAAAAAATTAAAAGTAAGTCTATGAGAGAAGTTCATAATCATCAAATTCCTATATAAATAAAAGCAAAAATTCACCTAATGATGTACACCAAAGTCATAGAAACAAAAGAATAAACTAAATCTAAAGCTGTGAACAGCAATAAATAGCAATTTTCAGAGATGAAATTAGTGAAATACAAACCACAAGAACATCACAAAGGCTCAAAGAAACAAAGAGTTGGTTATAAAAAAAAAAGTAAAATTGACAAACCCTTACTCAAACTAACCAAATGAGAGAAGACACAAATTATTAAAAATTAGACATGAATAAAGGTGATGTTACAGCAGCTAACACTAAAATCAAGGACCCTAAGAGAGACATACATGGATCCCCCTGGGAAAGGGAAATAGATAAAATTTCCTGCGTAAATTTGGAGAAGAGGGGGTGTGGAGAGGGAGATGAGAGGGTAAATGAAAGTGAGGAGGAGAACTTGAGGGAACAGGACTGTCAAGTGGGGGAAGGACAGATAGGGAGAGCAAGGAAAGAGATATCTTGATAGAGTGAGCCATTGTGGGGTTAGCAAGAAATGTGGCACGAGGGAAATTCCCAGGACTATACTAGGATGACCCCAGATGCTAAGCAATAATGGAGAGGGTGCCTGAACCAGCCTTCCCCTGTAATCAGATTGATGACAACCTTAAATGCCATCATAGAACCTTCATCCAGTAACTGATGCAGATGCAGATGCAGAGATCCACAGCTAATGACTGGACCAAGCTCCTGAAGTTCAGTCAAAGAGAGGGAGGATTGATATGAGCAAAGGGGTCAAGACAATAATGGGAAAACCCACAGGAACAAATAACCCAAGCTAGTGGGACCTCACTGACTCTGGACTAATAGTTGGGGATGCTGCATAGGACCAAACTAGGCCGTCTGAATGTGGTTGACAACTACATGGCTTGGGCCGTTTGCGGGGCCAATGACAGTGGGGCCAGGATTTATTCCTAGCATATGAACTGGCTACTGGGAGCCCATTCCCTATGAAGGGTTACCTTGCTCAGCCTAGATACAGTGGGGAGGGACTTTGTTGACTCCCCATGGGAGGCCTTATTCTCTCTGAGGAATGGATGCAGAGTGGAGTGGGGGATGGTGAGGGGAGTAGGAGGAGAGGAAGGAGGGGAAACCAGGATTGATATGAAAACTAAAAAAGATTGTTTTTAGAAATAAAATAATTTTTAAAAAAGTTATATAAAATTAAACCTTTAAAATGCAAAAAAGAACCTCATTAGGGAAAATGAGAAAAGGGGAAGGCTGATTAGGGAAAGGGTTCTTGTTTTGAAAAAAAGGGGGAAATGCTGTGGGATAATGCTCTTGTACACTGTAAATATTTGTCACTCATATTGTTTTAATAAAACACTGATTGGCTAGTAGCCAAGCAAGAAGTATAGGTGGGGCAACCAGACTACAAGAATTCTGGGAAGAGGAAAGGCTCAGTCTACAGTCACCAACCAAATGCAGAAGCAGCAAGATGAGAATTGCCTCACTGAGAAAAGGTGCTAAGCCATGTGGTTAAACATGTACACAAAAATGGGTTAATTTAAGATAGAAGAGCTAGCTAGAAATATGACAGAGCTTTTGGCCCAGCAGTGTTATAATTAACATCATTTCTGTGTGATTATTTGGGTCTGGGTAACTGGGAAACGTAAGTGCAGTCTCTGTTTACAGAGGGGAGGTAAATATAGAAGGAGGAGGGAGGTAGATAACAATAAAGATCGCTGAAAAAAGCCACAATTAATCATACTATTAACTATTTACCTTAAAAACCCCTATAATGTACATAATTCAGTATATAAATATGTACGGTTAGTTGTAATAAACTTTTCTCATCTGAGCAGATGACGTTCCTTCCAAGAACCAAAGACCACCTAGCAAAACCCCTAGCAACAGACATAAAAAGCCCTCTTTTGAGTTGTTGGCCAATACTGTCTAAAAGAATTCTAAAATACCCAAAATATATAGCCTATTTCTGTTGTCCTTGGTTACCATCCAGGGGTGGAAGGCAAGGCCATGCTGCTGAAGACACTATGCACTTCAGAAACAGGACTCAGAGGTCTTTGAGCTCAAATTAACCTGAATTCCCCTCCCAAAGAACTAGCTTTCATGGTACCAGAAAGTGCCAAGAAAACTTCCAAAAGTAAAGGCAACTAATAGTCCCAGCTAGCTACAACACCTATGAACTGTATCAATGACCATCATGGCATGATAACCCTATGGATGCAGTAGTGACACACATACACCTTGGTCATAGTCAATGGTTTCTTAATTGGTCTTAAACCCTGCTCAACAAGAAGGATACCATGTCTGGTATGGGAAACCTAGCTAACTAATCAGTGCTAGTAAAATCATGGTTATTGGAGGAGATCTACAAACACTAAATTATTAAACAAACATAATCCCTAACAACAAATTACAAATGTGTTATTTTACCAACAGATAAGTTTATTTTTCACCCCTCATAAAAAAAAACTTCTCTTTGTAACAGATGGAGACCACCATAGAAAACAGTTCAACCAATCAATATTCAGAGTTGTAGAGCCCGGTCTCAATGAATACATCCATAAAAACTCAGGGAACATTGTGGAACGGGCAGAGGGTAGAAGGTGGAAAGATTGTTAGAGCCAGAGGATCAGAGATTTTGCTGTCAAATTGTGTCTTGTAGTAACAGCAGGAGCTCAGAAAGCTATACCCATAAAGTCTCATCAACATAAGAGTACAAATGTGAGCTGAACTAGAATGCCAATGAACATGCCAAACTGCAAGGAGAAAAGCCCATAAGGCCTCAACCCTACAGCAATAACTGAGTAAATCTGGGAGCGAAAGAGGTAGCCCACTGGTTATCCAGTGCCAAATGGTCAACCATGAAAGCACACATACAAGTAACATATTATATGGATTCAACAGCTATTTGGGGATATATTATATGCAAATACATATGTGCATGCAATAACAATTGATAGAAAAGAAAAAGTCATAAATTTGAAGAAATGTGGGATGGGATATATGGGAGACCTTGAAAGATAAGGAAGAAATGTTGAAATTAAAATACAATTCTGATAAGGGAGTTTAGCCAATCATATCCTGTTTGTGGGGCATGTTGCCCTAAGGCAAAAGTTTACCTATAAATCTGGTGGGTGAAAGCCCCCGCCCTCTCTCTCTTTCCCTCTCAACCTGGCCTGGATCCAGCGTTTTAGACGGGTGGGACTCTGTGTAAGTTTTTTCTTCTGTTTTATTAAAGCTGTATCTTTTGTAAGATAGTCTGGGGACTTTTCATTACCGATCGCCCTGCGTCTTCATCTAGCTCAGGGGTGTTTATCATAAAAAAAGGAGAGAGAGAGAGAGAGAGAGAGAGAGAGAGAGAGAGAGAGAGAGAGAAAAGGGGGATTGATTGGGATTGGTGATGGGATAATAATATATTGGTATTTGTGAGTTATTGTTTTTAGAAAATTGTATTGGTGTTGATTTTTGTACATTGAATATTGTATATGAGTATGCTTCTACCTCTATTTGTATTGATATATATACATATCTTTACATTCCTACCTTTGATTAAGATATTTATGTAATGATATACATTGTTTACATTTGGAGGTCATTGTCCTCACTCATTGAATAATAAGAGTTATTCATTCTCTTAGTCTTCAAGTTAGATAGATAAAAATCAATAGTCATATATGTTTGTTATATTTATATTTAGGCTAATCAGGTTATTTAGGTGCATAGAGATCATACTTAGTATAGATAGTATAATCTTCAACCTCTTCAAAGAGCTGTAAAAAATGGCCTTTAATCTAACTCATAGTTCTATAGTAATGAGACACAATTGCTCCTGACATCACCGCTCTACTCCCGAGAGAATGTTGAGCACCAAAGGCACTCCACTTGGAGCTTGTCTTCTTCCTGGCAAAACTGACCTTTGGACAAAGAAAAAGCTCATACCTCGACCACTGACAGAATTACAGAATATCCGTAAATGGATAAAAACAAGATTGTCTTATCTTGTCAAGACAGGGTGAGAGAGTCCTAAAAGGTTTCTTGTCTTTAAAAAATGGCATGTCAGTTACTTCAGGCCTTAGCCAAAGTTGGTTGACTCAACATAGCAAACGAGACTTTGGGTGACTGCCTAGGTATTCAGTTGTCTCTTCCATTTGTTGCACATTTCGGAAGTTTCCCGCTTGTACTTCCGGGCTGCTTGAATAAAATTATTTCCCTTCTCAGATCTTTGATGGAGTTGAAGATTAGATAGTTGTAGCTACCATCTACATTATTTAGACTCTTTAAAATAAAATGTTTAGTAAAACTTTTGTTATATGTTTTTTGCTTAATATTGTTTGTTGTTTGTAACTTTATATTTATTATTTGCTTCTATTGTATATAGTTATATTTTGTTTTGCTCTGTCTTATTTTAGAAAAAAGGGGGAGATGATAGGGGAGTTCAGCCAATCACATCCTCTTTGTGGGGCGTGTTGCCCTAAGGCAAAAGTTTACCTATAAACCTGGCGGGTGAAAGCCCCCGCCCTCTCTCTCTCTCCCTCTGGACCTGGCCTGGATCCCGCGTTCCAGACAGGTGGGACTCTGTGTAAGTTTTTCCTTCTGTTTTATTAAAGCTGTATCTTTTGTAAGATAGTCTGGAGACTTTTCATTACTGATCGCCCTGCGCCTTCACAATTCTCCCAAAAAAGATCATTATGGAGTAATTTGAAAAAAATTAGTCAATTATAATATCTGGAAGAAATAGACCAATTCCTAGAATCATACAACCTACCCAAATTTAGATAAGAAAAATAAAATCATGTAAATAGATCAATAACTAGGGACAACATTGATATATTAATGGAGAAAAATGACATAAAGAAAAGTCCAGGACCATACAGACCAACAGATAAATTCTACCAAAA